TGTATAACCCTGAGGGTCTCCTTCCATTTCCATGCAATTTCCCTTCTCTCTCCCTTTCCCTCCCACCTCTCATCCCTGTTTAATGTTAATCTTCTTCTCATGCTCTTCGTCCCTACTCTGTTCTTAGTTACTCTCCTTATATCAAAGAAGACATTTGGCATTTGTTTTTTAGGGATTGGCTAGCTTCACTTAGCATAATCTGCTCTAATGCCATCCATTTCCCTGCAAATTCTATGATTTTGTCATTTTTTAATGCAGAGTAATACTCCATTGTGTATAAATGCCACATTTTTTTTATCCATTCGTCTATTGAAGGGCATCTAGGTTGGTTCCACAGTCTTGCTATTGTGAATTGTGCTGCTGTGAACATCGATGTAGCAGTGTCCCTGTAGCATGCTCTTTTTAGGTCTTTAGGGAATAGACTGAGAAGGGGAATAGCTGGGTCAAATGGTGGTTCCATTCCCAGCTTTCCAAGAAATCTCCATACTGCTTTCCAAATTGGCTGCACCAATTTGCAGTCCCACCAGCAATGTACAAGTGTACCCTTTTCCCCACATCCTCGCCAGCACTTGTTGTTGTTTGACTTCATAATGGCTGCCAATCTTACTGGAGTGAGATGGTATCTTAGGGTGGTTTTGATTTGCATTTCTCTGACTGCTAGAGATGGTGAGCATTTTTTCATGTACTTGTTGATTGATTGTATGTCCTCCTCTGAGAAGTGTCTGTTCAGGTCCTTGGCCCATTTGTTGATTGGGTTATTTGTTATCTTATTGTCTAATTTTTTGAGTTCTTTGTATACTCTGGATATTAGGGCTCTATCTGAAGTGTGAGGAGTAAATATTTGTTCCCAGGATGTAGGCTCCCTATTTACCTCTCTTATTGTTTCTTTTGCTGAGAAAAAACTTTTTAGTTTGAGTAAGTCCCATTTGTTGATTCTAGTTATTAACTCTTGTGCTATGGGTGTCCTATTGAGGAATTTGTATTAAAAATTCATTGCATTAACAGGTTCATTTTAAATAAATCAATATCTTCATAATATTTAATTTTCCCATCCAGAAATATTACATGTTTCTGTTTAGGCCTTTTATATCCATTAGTTAAGCTCTATAATTTATTCCTTATAGAGATTTTTTTTGGTGGGGATACCAGGGATCCAACTCAGGGACACTTGACCACTGAGCCACATCCCCAGCCCTATTTTGTATTTTATTCAGAGATAGGGTCTCATTGAGTTGCTTAGCACCTCACTAAGTAGCTGAGGCTGGCTTTGAACTCTCAATCCTCCTGCCTCAGCCTCCTGAGTTGCTGGGATTACAGGCATGTGCCACCACGCCCTGCATCTTTATACAGATCTTACATTGGAGGGTTTACTTGTTGCTATTACAAACGAAGACCTGTTTTCCCATTACATTTAATTCTTTTATGATTTTTTAATCCAGTCACTTAACTGAACTCTTCTATTAGTGATAACTATATTATTTATTTATTTTTTGACTTATCACATTAGCTAAGACCCAAACAATGTAGAAATGGTATCGGTGAACTTTGTCTTCTTTCTATCTGTAATGAGTGTACTTCTAATGTCTCACTATTAAATATTGTTAAAGACATTTTATCTGCCCAGAGAAGTTTCTTTCTATTCCTAGTTTACTGAAGGGTGTACTTTTTATTGCAAACTATACCAGATTCCTAGCAAGGACCCTTTATTCTTTCACCTACGTTGTCCCTGAGAATCCAGGGATTGTCCAAACCAACTTGGACCTCAGTACTGAGGTCCTAGCTGAGCCAGCCTGTTTAGAACTAAAGTCTTCTTCCTTGTTCCTTTCACTTACATTTGATACCAGATATCTTTTTTTTTAAGTATTTATTTTTTTAGTTGCACAAAGTACCTTTATTTTATTAATTTTTTTAATGTGGTGCTGAGGATTGAACCCAGGGCTTCACACTTGCTAGGCAAGCGCTCTCCTGCTGAGCCCCAGCCCCAAACCAGATGTCTTCAGGGCAGGAGCTACTTCATTGCTTCTCTTACTTCTCACACCCCCTGCCGCAATTACCACCCACTACACCCACACGACGGAATGAGATGGACATCATTACCCTAGGTACACGTATGAAGACACGAATGGTGTGACTCTGCTTTGTGTACTACCAGAGACATGAAAAAGTGTGCTCCATTTGTGTACTATGAATCTAAATGCATTCTGCTATCATAACAAATTAGAACAAATTAATGAATGAATGAATTTTTAAAAACACAAAATAAATAATTAAAAAAAATGAAAAGCAAGTGGACAAGAATACCTTTTCTGGGATTTTCTGGCAGGCACCAGTGAAAAGATGTCATTTCTAGCTTTAATTTAAAGAACTTTCTTTCTGGCTTGGATCATCTTGAAGAGCTGACAACATCTCATGCTCTGGTTGCCAAGGGGCTTTTGTAGTTCCTGCAGGAGGGTGTGAGAATGAAATCTCAACCTGACCTCTAATTTCCTGTTGGGGTTTCACGCAGGTTCAGAAGCAGGAAGTAGCCATAACTTTCTCAGTGCTGTCTTTGCATGTGGTTTAGATGGGTGGGGGGGGGGGATTCATAGTTGATTGATAAAAATGTTTTAATGACAAAATACATTTGATAATTTTTAGATGGTGAAGATTTTTTTGCTAAGCTTGAATGAAAGTATTGTGGTTTTGTCTAGCTTGCATTTGAAGCATGACTTTAATGTGACTTGTCACCTGTCTAGAGAATTGTCCCTGTGTCCAGTGACACTTTGCTTTGGGGTAGTCAACACTTACAGTGATGACATCTGTCGTATTTAAGTATGTGAAATGCCAGAGAATAATGCAGAGCTACCTCAGTAATGTGCTTCCTCAGAAAACTCTTAACATAAGACCTTGGCAAAAGATTACTGAAGGCAGCATAGGAGAGAATTTGGGTTCCTTCTGTGTAAAAAGCAGTGAATGATGTCTTTTACGATGGTGTTTCTTGCCTTGATGCATGCTGGGTAGATTTTATCATTTCTCATGTTTAAGCCAGGAAAGCAAGAACACATTAAGTATAAAGATCATTTATTTTTTATTGCTTTCATATAAACTGACATTAGCTTCCAACATGAATTCTGTGTTCCTGCTTTTGAGGTGGGGTTTTTGGGAGATGGCATCAACTCATCTCAGGCATATGGTGTGTAACTGGCAATGATCCAGGCAAGTCCAGGACAGGAGAGAATTGGAAGCCAAAACTCCTGAGGGGCAAGGCAGCCCTATTGTGGCAGGAACAAGTAGCTGGCCTTCGGGCCTTTCTAGTTCCAGCGAGGTCGAGGTCAGCTTTTTCACATATAGGGCTGTTGCTGTGGGGAGTTTGGTCAGTCAATTATTTTCCATATCTCAGCATCTTCTCTTTTCTTCTGAATCCAAAAAAGAGCCTGGAGCCATGTCAAGGAGCCGGCTAAATGTCCCTGCCTTTTCTCTTGCAGGCAGGTGACAAACATTATCACCCCAGCTGTGCACGATGCAGCAGATGCAACCAGATGTTCACAGAAGGAGAAGAGATGTATCTTCAAGGTAAGGTGGACTCTTTCCCACTCAGGGAGAGAAAGCCTTCTGTGTTTGTTGGATTGTTTTTAGAGAAGGAGGCATTTTATTAGCTGAGAAGCTACCCAAATCCAATACAAATGCGGCCAGAAGTTACCTCATCTGTTAGCTTTAATCAGCCAAGCAGTTGCTTGCTGGCTGGGAGCCCCTGGGGCTGTTAACAAATGAGCTGAGTGTGTTGCTGCTTGGAAAGAATGAATAAGATTCCATGTTCCATAAGAGGGAAGAGTGGCAGTCAGCAATTCCTCCCCCACCTCTCCTCAGGAATATGTTTGGGAAACAGAAGATCGAAGGAGAGAAAGCTTTCTAGAAATTTCTAGAAGTGTCCCTTATTTGGTGGCTCCTTTTCCTTTTCTCCTTTCACTGTCCTGTGAGGATGGTCTGAAGTCTCCCAGCATGCTCTTCTCTGGCTTTCCAGAAGAAAAGCTCACGTTTGATGCATTTCCTCACAGACACATTTCATCCTGTTCAAACAGTACAGTTCTCCTATCAAAATAGAGAATGAACAAGCACACAGGCAAAGTCCCTACACAAGAAACGGAGACGTTTCTGGTGACAAGGAAATACTCCTTTCCAGGGAGTCCTTAGATTTTTCTTAATTGAAAATAATTTTGAGGAATGTTCCCAGTGTGAAACGATGATCCATCTTTATTTTCTCCCAAATCCCAAAGCCTCTCAGAGAGGATTTAGGTGCAGATTCTCTACCAGCCAAACAGCACCATCTGCACAAACATTTTACTATTTTTATCTTTAAAAAGAGTCATTAATTAGACAAGGTTCATCAGGAAAATTAGCGAGAACTGTAAGAGCGGTTGCTTATTCAGTTCTGATAATTGCTGGGTCTCGGTTCCCCTGCCTCTTCTTCACTCCCCTTTACACATAACACCATGCGACTGTTTAATGAATGGTTTGCTTTGCTCTCTCGATTTTCTTTCTGTGCAACTAAAAGACTGTAGAAATGATTTTCGAGGGTTAAAGGACCGTCTTGGCTATTCCCTCAAAAATTGCTGGCAAGGCGAGAAATGGACAACCCAGTGTCATTTCAGCTTTAGAGTGATCACTCTGAAAAATTGCAGTGGAAAACACCACCGAATGCTGAAGGGCCTCATGGGAACGCAAGTGACAAGCACTGCATCTGTGGTCTCATGGGGGCTTCATAGGACACGTGTTCCCAAGGACAGGCTGTACAGCTATAGTGGCAATAGGCAGGTGTCCCTTTGCATTTTTCTGCACAAAGCAGATCGATTCCCCATGTGGTCTCTGGGCCTGCTTTTAGATTTTGGTGTGTCACTTACTCCCAGGACAGACACAGGAGTACACGTCAACCTATGTCTGCTCGGGTGCAGTTCTGCACGTCCACAGCGGCTCTGGAAGCTGAACGCAGGAGGGTGGTTTCAAGTTGTGCACAAATATAGCACATTTACAAGATGGGCTACCTTCAGAATTCCAGGGATTGTTCTACATCTCTGGAGTTGTGCTGTGGTACCCTTTGCCTGCCCTCTCGGCACATCCTTGAAGAATGAGCAGTTTCATCTTTCTCAGCATCTGAGAGTCACATTGCTGGTGTGTCTGACCTCTGGAGAACAATGCTGCCATTGTGTGCAGACTGTGTTCCGGCCAGTGCCCCCCCTCAGCAGCACCTTCACAGCGAAGGTTCTCCCGGCCTGGGCCTGACCTCGGCTCTCCACATTAAGAGATTTCCTTTGCTTTGTAGTTAGCCTTTGAGCCAGAGTTAGTGCTGAAGGGACCGGTGTGTCTGTCTGGAGTTTGCTTGTTTGGTTTACTTTCTTTCTTTTTTTTTTATTTTTGGCTCTGGGAGAAGCAAGGTAGAGATGATTTTTAAACAGTTTACAGTTTTCTTCTGGTATGGAATATATTTCCTTGTCATTAATTGAATATTATTTTAGCTCAGTGGTATAAAGCAATTTAGGTCAGTTTAATATGGTGACTTTTCAAGTACACAGAGGTTATGCTTAAAGAAATCAAGACTGAAGCTATAAAATGCAGAAAGATTGATGTTCCTGCTGAGACTGTTATGTGTGTCAATTTCTCACTACTTTCCACTTAGAAAAAGATTGACTTGGGTTTTTTAAGTGCTCAGACTCTTCTGCTGCTCCCGATATCTGAACAAACTCTTAGGTGGACGTGGAACTTGCATAGTGGTATAAATGGCCCATACTTATATAGTACATGTATGGTCTATACAATCATATGTCAGGCCCTGGATTCTGGAGATGAGAGCTTTCTTTAAGAGGTAAGTGTTTTGCTTAATTCTGTGCTGTGGGTTCTACCCATGAAAGTACTTCATAGTCTGAGAAACTATTGATCCAGGTATAAGAAATAACACCAAAATAGTTGTGTGACTAGTTTAAAACTGAAACTTTAAAAAAAAAGTTAATTAAGCGGTTGCAGGATTCATAATGTAATTTTAACCTGGCTGTCAGTTATTTTAATTTCCTGCTTCAGGATAGGTGACTATAGAATTGGGTCAATGAGAATTTAGTGAGTTTTACTTCTGGATCTTCTATATACAAACTATCTATAGCCAGAATATTCTGGATATAGACTACCTAGTTTGACTTTATTTCTCCAACCAAATAGCTTGATTGTTTTGATGTTCTGTCAACATGGCTTATATATCTGAAATTAAGTGCAGCATGTAGCAAGCACTCAGACTTTACTTTTAAAGGATAATAATATGATTTAAAGAGAAAAACTAAATAGACCTATCAAGAGCTAAAATACCTCTTGCATTAAACCATTCTTGTGATCTAGAACTATGACCTTTATGAGCAAGCTTGGGCCAGATGAGGAAACCTCACCTAGGGGTTGGAGTTGTTTGACTTCAGTGTCATAAGCCACCTGGGCATGGGGCCCTAACACTCTCCTATGACAGGGAAAGAGGAATATGAGCCACTCTCAGAAGCTCAGTTCACTAGGACTGAGGCTTCTCTCCATTTCCTTTACTCTGAGCGGTGCTTCATGTCTTTCCAGGGTCCACCGTTTGGCATCCCGACTGTAAGCAATCTACCAAGACAGAGGAAAAACTGCGGGTAAGGAAACCATTAGAACCATAATGCCAGGTGCATTTGGAGGCCACAGGTTTCATAGTCACAAATTCTTGGGGCAAGGGTTGGAGTGAAATTACTTTTTACTGATTTGTTTTTTCTCATAGTAAACCAAGTTCAAAGGCCTTTTGGCCAGCTCAGGGGGTTCTTTTTTGCCTTAAATTTATTGTTGTGATTTTTACTCCACATGCTTGTGTTGGATAAAGTAAGCCCTGCCTTTCTGGTCAGCTTAAGGCATTCAAGCAAAAGTCCATGCAGATGGGGAAAAAATAATTCACCCGATTCTAAAGCCAACATCTGGTGACCTTCCTGCAAGATGGCTTTGTACTGAGCCCGTGATGCCCTGCTTCCATCCATTGCTCTCAAATCCAAACTCACTGGAGCAACCTCCAGCTCTAAATTGATGACTTGTCAGATAAAATCTTAGGGGAAAACAATGATGAGCTCAGACATGCAGGTTGGTCAATATTCAGAACTCCTCCAGATGACAGTATTTTATGTTTCAGAAGCAAATACCATTGTCACGTTGTGATTGTAATCTGGATCCTGATCACACGTCCCTGGTTTTTCATCTGGTCTATGAAGGTTTTTGTTTTGTTGTTTGTTTTTCCCCCAGAGCAATAATCAGACTGAATCTCAGTCCCTCAGTTTAGCTAACTTGAGGGTACAATGGAAAAACGGGAGCGTGACCTCACAGCATTTGCTATCTCAAGGAAAAGAATGATCTGGATTTATTTTGGAAGCCAAACTCCAATATGTGGAATGCTTTCTTATCTGCCCTGAGCAGGCCTGTGTTACATGACGTGTGTAATTCCAGCAGAGCCATGGTTCATCCGTGGGACCTGGTCACCGACGTGTGACTTGTGAAAGGATGACTAGGCTTCTGAGAAATGGTTCTCAGATTTCAGATCCCTTTGCTTGCCACCTGAGTAATCGCAGCTCTTATTTTCTGGTGCCTTTTATTTATTCTCTTCATTGCAACAGACGTATGCATAGGAGCTTTCTCCCCTTTGCTTTTATTTCTCTCTCTCTCTTTTTCTTCCTCAGATGTCATCTGTGTATCAGATAGAGACACTTTGCCATTTGGATATTTTAGAAACTTGTCCCTTGCCTGTAACCCTGAACAAAAGTAGTACTCTTAGAATTCACAGTTATTATGAGCAGATTTTAAGTAGAAGTTAAAAGAAAAATTTTCTTAGTATAATTGAATAAAGGTAAGAATGAGCAGGGGCTGGGGTTGTGGCTCAGCAGTAGAGCCCTTGCCTAGCACACACAAGGCCATGGGTTCAGTCCTCAGCACCACATGAAAATAAATAAATAAAATAAAGGTATTGTTTCCAACTACAAAAAAAAAAAAAAAAAAAAAAATGTGAGCAGGGGAGGGATTTGCCCACAAATGCCCAGATGTTCTGTTCTGTTTCCTGACACACAACTTCAACTTGAGCACACAGGATTTCTCTTGAATGTTGTCACCAGACTGGCGAGGGACTTTAGAGGAACCATGCATGCTTGGAAAATGAATTATCTTCATAATAGAGGAGAACACTAAGGACAGTACTTACTGTCACTTTTGCCCCAAGAATGTACCATTCACAACATAGCTGAGGCTGCTGCCCAGAAACCACCCAGGGAGCCAGCACATCTTCCATTCTCTACAGGGTTGCTTTTAGTTTTTTGAATAGTCATTTTTACTTGATCCCTGATGAAATCTTTGGCTAGGGGGCCAGGGACAAATTGAGGCGTGCTAATGAGACCAGACTGAATGGAATGTGCATCTTTTTTTCTATAAAGATAACTTGAGTTTGTGACTGATGTTCCTAAAATGATAATAAATAAATAAAGATTCACATCTCCATGAAACTCTCTGGAGACGCTTATGAAAACAACTAGTGAAATATTTCATTCTGGCCAAAAGGAGCTCTTGTTTTGTTCCCTCAGTGAGCTTTCCAGAGGATTCCAGCACTCTCCTCCTGAACCTGGCATCCACTACTTGGGAGGCCAGGTCAGCACTCTGGCTGACTGTCCTTGGGAAGCCCAGTAGTGAGGAGGAGGGCACCCCTGGGGAAGGGGTCTGAGGGTGCCCAGATTTAGGGCCCAGGGGTGTTGGTAGGGCTTAGAGGCGAGCAGAGTCTGAAGAGAAGATGGAATCTTGCACTCTCTTGAGGGTGTTTCCACACATCACAAATCCCCAGCCAAGGTTCCTAGGCCTTTCACCACATGTCACATCAGAGCAGTCTCCATAGCAAAATGAAAATGTTTTAAGGATCTTTCAGCAGCCCTCCCAAGTAATCCACATTCTTGTCATTGAAGACCTCATGGGGCGTTTGTAAGAACAGAATCTGATGACCGCCTCTTGGTTGGCTTCATATACCGTAAGCACATCGAGCCAAACTAAATGGAAAGGGGGGTGGATGTAGATAAGTATATTGTAATTTCAAGACCAGTTAATATGCTTTAAACTTGGGCCCCAAACTGACCCCCCAAATGGCACATGTACATCAATAGAAGTGATGTCACTTGCTGTTGCTATCAAATTGGTTTCCTCTCAGCTTTTTTGTTTTCTAGGGTTTCAGAATAAGGGGTTCTTGTTGTTTATTCTTCCCTTTTCTCATGTTTCATGGCAGCCACCAAACATCTACCGCTCTTCCTCTGATTTCTTTTATCCCAAAAGTCTGATTCGCCGCACAGGACGGACTCCATCTCTGCAGGTTGGCGCTGTGTCTGGCCGTAGCTGGGAGCCGCTGCCGTGGGCCTAGGCTTCTCTGTTGCTTTCTGTGGCTGCCTTTCTCACGTAACTTGTCCCCTCCTGCAGAAGTCAGTGCTGCCCTCACCCGAGTGTGCCTCACGCTCTGACCTGGGCTGTTCTCTCTGATTGGTGCTTTCCTTCAGAGCAGTGGCTAAAGTGTCATCTCCATTAAAGCCGGTGCACAGAAAGCTGCCGTTTGATCCTGCACCCCATATTTGTTCAAGGAACAAATATCAGCCACACTCCCGGGTGCAGTGCCAGCCTGGATGCTGTACATCTAGCCTCGTAGGGGAAAAGAGACAAGTCATGATAAAATGGGGCGGAAACATGTCACAAGTCCTGGATCTCAAACGCCACATTCTCTGGGATGTCAGATGAGGCCATGGTCTCCAGGGACACTTCCTGAGAGATGCAGTCTTTAGGTTGAATTCTGGAGGCTAGAGAGGATTGGAACAGGTGGAGATGAGGAGAAAGGAACAGGCCCAATGAGAACCCAAAAGCTTCGAGCAGGGGAAAGCCATGCTGGGAGGGAGTGGATTGGATCAAGAATGGATTTGTGAAGGGAGAGTGGGCCCCCATCTGTGGAGACTGGGGTATCCATCTAGATTCTCATTTGCTCTCCTAGTAGTTCCTGTGGAGGTTGTTAATCTTAATCCCATTTTACAGATGCAGAGACTGAGACTGAGGCCTCTCACAGTTAAAGAACTTCTCCAAGTTTCCCCACTGATAAGTAGAAAAGCTAGGATTGGATCTCAGGTTTCTGGGAGCCCATAGTCATTTTCTTTTTACTGCAAGGGGCCAGTGAGAGAGAGACCTAGGATACCAGGAAGAGGAGAGCCCTAAGTGCTCGCAAGGGCCCTCTTGGAGGACCACTGCTGAGCATAAGGAAGAAGAGTGTGGCCTGCCTTGTGTGCCTTCCTGGAGCAGTGAGGGACTCTGTCTTCCACAGGAGCAGCAAGGCAGGAGACCATGTTGCTGCCCAGACTCACTTTCTCTAGGGTTCCTGAGAAGTCAGGCCTGTGAAATTGCAAGTGACTTTCCACTTTCCCACGCTGGCCCAGACGAAACCCATTCCACAGCCCTGGTGACAGTTTGGGACTCAGCCCAGTCCTCCTGTCAGGGCTTTGTCCTGTGACTTCCAGAACTGCACTAAGGAAGAATTGAGCTTCTATCTGATTTTATTACGATTCATGTTCATATGAAGTATAGAATTTTATAGTGGAAAGAAACCTCATGGAGCTGAGCCTCCGAGTTCCTCCCCCTGCAGAATAACGCTGATGGAGCAGCGTGCCCAAGGCTGCACCGGCCGATGGCTGCAGAGACTGTAGACTCTGGTTCTCTGACTCCAGGCATTGGGGGCCTTGCAGTGCCCATGGTACCAGGTTCCGACTTGGACTTGTGCGGGACCTTCTTTCTATTTTAAGGCTCAGCCCCAATGGCAAGACAGAGTTCCCACACACAACAAAATGAAAGGCTTCTGAATCCAAAGGAGCGGCTCATAATGAACCCCACTGTGAGGAGCCCTGCTCAGACTTAATGCCTCTACTTGGAAGGAAGTTGCATTTTCAATAGTTCCCCCGCCTCCAATAGTATATTCTTAATTCAAGTAGTTTCATATTTTCTTGGCCTAAGACTATGGCCAAGTGGTACATTTTCATGACTTGAAGAAAAATACCATGAAGTGTGATTTTTTTTTTTTGGTCTGCTCTAGACCCTTAGGTTTAAGAGAGAGAACGTGAATATCTGTTTCTAATAACTTCTCCCTTCCTATCCTGTTGTTCAAAAGGAACATCTGATTCCCATTAACCAGCCGTAAATATCAGTGAAGTCAACTTAGCCCTATCACAGAACACTGTAAACAGCCTGGGACCTGGCAGGGCCTCCCTTCCCCTCTGCCAGCAGGGTGGCTCCCCAGGACCTTTAAGAAGCCTGAACACTCCAAGGGACACCTCTCTCAAGTCACGGTTGTTTCCATCTTTCGAGTGCTTTGACCTACACAGCAGCTCATTTTCACCACGTAACAAAGCCCCCTTAGCTATTAGGTGAGCTTGTCCTTGTAGGGACAGCCAGTACTCTGTGCCCCAGAAATAAGTCCTGGTTTTGTCGCAGAGGAAAGTTATATTTATAAGGAAAAAAGTTGTTTGATTATTTACATTAAGAAATCACTCCTTCCTTTCCTTCGAATTAGAGGTAAAAGAAAAAAGATGAAAGAACATATTCTGGTTTTACTTCTTTGGAGGAATTTTATGTGAATAGCAATGACTTTTGTCTATAGGTAAAACTCAGTTCTGAGCATTTCTAATTCATTGTAGGCAAAGTGCATGGTACTCCCAGGACCAAGCTGTAATAACCCAGAAAGGGTCACTTGCTTTTGTTTTAAAAAGGAGTTTCTTTGCTGTACTCTGAAGGCTAAAAGCATGAATTGACTAACTTACAAAATGGGCATGAGTTTTTTTTTTTCTTGTGAAACTAACATTCACTTATTACAATGTACATTCTTGAAAATCTAGAACCAAAACAAATACCATGTATATGTTTTTATTTTTTTAAAGCCATGATATGATTTTATGATGAAAAACTTTATGTACATCTAGGACAAGGAAATAATGTTGTGGACTCTCACTGTCACTACAATGTCACCACAGCACATCCTGCTTTCTTTGTCCATAGGCCTGGGGATCTCATCCCCTCTGGGGGTCATTGCAACACAGTCAGACACAGAGGTGTTAAGTGTTATGTTAGGTGTTATGTGCTAGGAAGACATCCAGGCCTCTCAGCCATGGTAAAGGCTGGTGACATTTGTGCAGCTGTGTCCTAGCCCCCTCCGCCTCCTCTCCAAACACTCCAAAGGAGTTACTTTCACCCTGACTTACATTCAATGTGTGCAGATGTTAAAAGTGTCCCTTCTTCTGCAGCAGTTGGCACCACCCCGTCTGAACACCAACCAAAGCCCAAGTCAGGTACCGTCAGCATCAACAGTACTAGGATCAGGTGCCAGTCATCTTATACCTATAGTTGTTCCATAGGCGCTCCGAGATCATTCTGATCTGGCCGCCATTGCCTGTAGTCTCTGTGGCCCTCTTAGACTTCTTAGAGCCTGGCAGCGGACAGATGCGATTAGTGGTTGTTGCCTCTCTGCTCCTCTTGGACGGGGAGGGTACAGGGGTATCAGAGAGCCTCTCAGTACTGTCCTGGGGGCCTGTGGGCATCATGGCCCAACTTGGAAGGTACATGAAAAATGTCATTTCTCCACGTCCTCAACAGGCAGAGCTCTGGTAAGTGCTTTGAATGGTCAGCGTTTGAAGAGAGGTGTCAGCTGGCGGGAAACATCAGGAGCTCTCCTCCATTCATCTTCTCCTGGTGACAGTGACGGTGCCTCCCAAATGGTCAGGCAGATGAACCAAGGCAAAGCTTGGGGTGGGGACGGGAGTGTGGGTCAACTGAGGCTTTTAAAGGATTTCCTGAAGAAAGCAAAAAGGTGTGCTTTTCCAAGCATCTCACTATTGATTAAATGTCCCCCCAACACACCTTTTATTCCCCTTCCCTTTTAAATGAACTGCTAGTCTTCCAGTGAGGTCTTTCTTTGTTATTTTTTAAGTAAATTAAAAATCTTGTGAACGGTGAATATGGGAAGGTGTGCTGGGGAAATCAATGGTGAGCACACAGACCCCATCTTTGTGGGCTTGAGTGGGACAGCTCTGTGCTCTTAGAAGCCTGTTAGGGAATGCTCCTTTCTTCTTCCCGTTGCCAAAATAGGGATTCAACAATTTGCCTCATTCACTGGCAAAATACTTTGAGAGATCACAGCCTTATAACAATCCCCTCTCCATCCCCCGTGCCCTTTCCGTCCTCCGTGCCCTCTCCGTCCCCCTTGCCCTCTCTGTCCTACTAGCCCACATTTTGTGGGCCTTGATGTTGTTGCCAAAGATGGCATCAAAGAAATAACCGAGCTTCTCCAACTGTACTTTCAAGTTGGGTTTTTTCTACAAGAAAAAAAGTGCTTAAAGGAAAGTTAGCAAATTCCATTTGCTTTTTCCTTTTAAATGAACATTTCAATAATTTTATTTAACTCAGTAGCTAATGAGTAAACCAGTCAGATATAATAACCTGTTGAAATGGAGATTGGACTTCAGGGACTTATCTACTTAATTTTTTATAAGCACATTATAGCTATACATAAGCGTGAGGTTCATTTTGACATATACTTATATGGAATAAATTTATTCCATTTCAGTCCCTAGTACCTCCTCCTTCTCTCCCCCTCTCCCCTGGCCTTCCCCCATCTATTTATTGTTTTTATAAATTTGTATTTGATGGGAATACATAAAGGTGGAATTCACCGTGGTACACACACATGCACACAGCATGATTTGGTTAACCTCATTCTGCTGTCCCTCCCCTTTCCCATTCTCCTCAACTGCCCCCCCTTTATTCCTCTGATCTTTCTTCTACTTTCATGGTATTTCCCCCCACTCCTTTATTTTGTTTTAGCTTCCGCATATGAGAGAAAACATTTGGCCCTTAAATTTCTGAGTCTGTCTTATTTCACTTAGCATGAACTAGACAGACATTTCTCAAAGGAAGAAATACAAATGGCCAACAAATGTATGAAAAAATGGGGCTGGGGTTGTGGCCCAGAGGTAGAGCGCTTGCCTTAGCATGTGTGGGGCACTGGGTTCGATTCTCAGCACCACATAAAAATAAAATAAAAATACTGTGTCCACCTACAACTAAAAAATAAATATTTAAAAAAATATATGAAAAAATGTTCAACTTCCCTAGCAATCAGGGAAATGCAAATCAAAACTACATTGAGATTTTACCTCACTCCAGTTAGAATGGCAGTCATCAAGAATGCAAATATTAATAAATGCTGGTGAGGATGTAAGGGAAAGATACACTCAGACATTGCTGGTGGGACAGCAAATTAGTACACCACTCTGGAAGGCAGAATGGAGATTCCTCAAAAGACTAAGAATGGAACCTCCATGACACAGCTGTCCCACTCCTTGGTATGTATCCAAAATAACTAAAATCATCATGCTACGCTGATATAGGCACATTAATATTAATATCAATAAGATATTATAGCAGCACAATTCACAATAGCCAAATCACCAGCCCAGGTGATCTTCAACAAATGAATGGATAAAGAAAATCTGGGATGTATACACAATGGAGTTTTACTCAGCCATGAAGAAAAATGAAATATTGGCATATGCTGGTAAGTGGATGGAACTGGAGACTATCATGCCAAATGAAATAAGCCACACTCCACTTGCTTTTAGCAGCTTAGAGTTGGGAAACCTTACTATTTACTTTTCTCCTTAGAAATGAACATACCTTTGGGGATACTATTTGAAGTCCTCTTCATATTTATTATATGTTTGTAATACAGAGACAAGAGGAATTTTGTTCATCATAAACTCCTGTAGAGAGTTCCAGAAACAAAGGCTGCTAACCCATTGAGTTAGTGAATTCAGTTCATAATTACCAGGTCACTGTGGCTACTCTGAATAACTGAGTGGGTTGAAATGGTAATTTAGGTTAAGTAATTGCATGTAGGGATGAGACAGGGAAATGTGAATTATCTATAAAATTTTGTTGCAGCTCAATGAGGTGATGCTGGACTTAAATAAATGATAAGAAACAACTGGGGGATTTGGGAGGAAGACAGGGCATCAGGAAGTCTGTGCCTCAAGGTTGAGATGAGTTTCAGTGTGTGGATTTGTCTGCTCTGTTAGAGGAGAGCTCTCTGCCTCTTGAAGATTTATTAGTCATAACAGCAAATCATGTGTCCATTAGGGGGGAAAACATGGCTGGAAGTATAAAAGGGACTCAATAATAAATAAGATATTAATTTAAAATTCAATATGTTCAGAATTTTAGGTATTTCCTATTGAATTCAAAATTCTAAATATTTAAGATTAAACACTGCAAAGATAATTGTTCAGTTTTTAAAAGTAATTTATTATCTTCTTAAAGGCAAGACCTTTAACCTCCAGCTGAGAGCAAATGCACTCCCAGAGCCATTAGGGACCCCGGCAGGAAGCAGGGAGGGCCACTGTGCTGTTGAACCCTGGAGCACAGTTCAGGAGGCAGCAGATGCAGAACCGTCCTGGCAGATAAGACAGGCTTGTGCAAGGTCACTGCCAGCCATCACAGGAGGGGCATGAGTTACTGAAGTGAGACCAGGCAGGAAGTCAATCTGTGAGAGGGTGCAGAAGCGCTTCTCAGGGTTCCTAAGAACGGGAAGGTACTGTCAGTTCCTGCGACCAGACACTAGGAATTATGAACACATCTGTGTTCTGAGGGGAAGGAGGCCTAACGTGGTGGTATGGAGAACTATGGGCGGCCTTGTCAGTGTGGCTCACATCTGAAAAGAATATTCCATCCTGAGGAAGTAAATGCAGGCAGTGCCCTTTGGTATTTGAGACTAATTGGCCAAGAAATCAAGTCTAATGCTGATCACTTGCTTCACGCCTGGCTGGATCTTCGAAGGTACTATCTCGTTTAAGACTATGAAGCAGCTGTCGCTGGTACTCTCTCCCCTGTTTGTTTTATAAATGAAGAAGTTGGGACTCAAGAAAGGTAAAAGGAAAAAAAAAAAAAAAGAAAGAAAAATTCCCATAATGTTGCACAGCTAGCGGAACCTGGATTTGAGCTAATTATTTGACTCCAGAACCAGATTTTAACTCCACCATATTACACTACGCAGAGTTGTGTTTTATCCCCTTACTTACAGACAGGAAGACAAAGAAGGGCCATTGTAAGGAATAGGAAGTAAGAATGTAACTTGACCATGAACGGGAGGTCTAAGGAAGTAAATTTTATAAAAGAGTTTGATGGGTCAGGATGGAGCAAAAGTAAACAGTGGTGAGTGGGAAGTTCCATGCAAGGGTCATTTCTGAAGCTCTGAAACATCTTGAGCGTTTTCCAGGAAACACTAACTAGCCTAAAGATACGAGGGGCAGAGCAGTCACTCTAAGAGCCTTGGTAGGCTTGGTGACCAGCTGAATTGACTTTGAAAACTGACTGTAGAAGTCTGGATTATTTCAGAATCAGAGAACTCAGGGGCAGGCCCATGCAGATTGGAGGTGATTCAGATCTGAAAACGTTTAAAGAATCAAACTTGATGAAATTGCAAATTGTTCATTATCCCTTAAAACCTTTAGCCCAATAATATTCATAGTCCAAACAGGATGAATGCCTTGGAGAAAGCCTACATAACTCACAAACTCTGCTAATCCGAGGAGGAAGGAGGGAGAAACGCAGCTTGAACAGGCTAGCTTGTCCTGAGCCCTGTCTCTGCGGAGTTCTTTGTCCCTGGGAGACAGCATAAGGGTCCTTCCCCACCCGTGCTCAGGTTGGTCTTCAACTCTATTCCTATCATCATGGACAGGACAAGAGCCACCAAGCAGTTCAGAGCTGTCCCCAGGTGTGTTATCACAGGAAATGGCAGTGATGTCCCTGGCCCACTCTTGGCAAAAACAGGGATGAGTTACATACAAGACACCACCAAGCTCAGCATGTGACTTGGCTTTTCAGTTAATGTCCAGGTGCTTGTTAAGGACACAGGCCCTTGTCACAGCAACCCCAGTAAGTGAAGACCTGTCACCCCTGCAGCCCGCCTCTCCCACCCACCTCCACTCCAGGGCGCTCAGGCAGTGAGCCCACAGGGCAATGAGCATATTTTCAGTTAGCATTCCTTCTTTTCTGCTACTGATGTCAACGTGTTGTTTAGTACCCTCACCCTCTTTGTTCCATAGCTGTGTTGGGAAATACATGAGTGCACTCACCTTATGATGTAGACAAAAATCAAGTGCAGGAGTTAGCTGGGTTCAAATCCTAACTCAAACCCTTCCTACCTCTACAGCTTGGATCACTCATACCTCTTTCTCATCTGTAAAATGGGGTGAAAACCCATCTCACTGAGCAGATTTAATGCGGTTAAGCTGGTATAGGCTCAGCACAGGCCTGCCACATAGGAATTGGGCAATAAACACTGGCTGCTATTCCTGTGTTGTTGCTTAAATAAGAGGTTTTAATTTGATACCAAGTTTAGCAAATATTAAGTCCTGGCTACTTGAACCTGAAGGACTACCTGTATTTAATTATCCCACAGAGAGGGATGTCACTTCAACTTTCAGTAAAAAGACTTTTTAAAAATAATTTTTAAAGGAGGGTTATATTTGGGTAATGCCACTTCTGTAGTTTGATTGAGAAATGGATCTAGAAACTGGACATTCTTTTAGTGTAACGCAGATCCTTTCTTTTCCAACATGCTCTGATGTAGAATTTTCTCATATTGAAATTCACCTGTGATTGGGAAATAGTAGCTTCAATCACAGTTGGAGGAGAACGCTTGTATGTGGCAGGTCGTGGAAGCGCTGAGTGATGCATGCCTCCATCTGGGCATAGTGACACTTCTCCCACCACCGCCCAGTCAGATATCTCTGGGCACAGCCCTCCTGTGAGTGTGGCTTTGAGAATGAGTCCAGCCATGCCTGCCTTAAGTGGCCAGCTATGTCTGCGCTCCTTTTTTCAGGTGTGAATTGGAGACACAGCACCTGTGCTATTAGGAGTTCTTTGGGTTCAGTTATACCTATATTCAAGGTGTCACTTATTGGTAGGAATAGAGCCAAAGGGAAATGTCCTATTCTATTGTAGATCTTAAAGTCATCCGCTCCAGAAAATAACTGCACAGACATGAGGAAGTCTCTCAAGACCAGGACCTTAGTTTTCTGTGTAAAACTTTCCAAAATATGCCAAGCAGAGGGGGGGGAGGCTCTCAACCCTAGTTCATTCATTTCCCGTGGGTCCAGCCTGCATAACCAACACCCTCAGGGTTCTCAAGTACCTATGATGAGGTCCTATTTCTTCTACCTTCTTCAAGCTCAGGATGTTCTCTGTGTTAGGCTCAAATCATGGAAGAGACATGAGTTGGTGCCTGCAAATAAATTTGAGCTCATTCTCTCCACAAATGTTTATGCCTTCTGTGTACCTGTGCAAAGCATTGGATGTATGCAGTGGTGACAACTGTGTGAGGGTGGAGAGCATGACCAAAGTCAAGGGGGAGGTAGACCTGATGCAGCAAAACCAATAAATGTATCAATTGGAATTTTTATTCACAAAGGAAAAAGTAAGAATGGCACTGTGAGAACTCTGGCCTGGAAAACAGGGAGGGCCTCCCTGAGCAGGTGATGTTTAAGACTTTAGGCTTGAAGGAGGAAAAAGAGTCAACCCAGTCAGATTGTGGGTAAGAGCATTGCAGGCTGAGGGAGCATCGGGGATAAGAACCCCTAGGCAGGGAGGTGCTCCTGCTTCTGTGAATGATGACAGGTGATGAGTGACAAGGTAGGAGAAGGCAGCGGAGTGATCGCGAGGCCCTGGGAGTTGTGGTTTTATTCTGAGTTGATGCTGAAGCCAAAAGCAGGATATTGGAAGTTCAAATTATGTTCTTTAAAAGAAATAAAATAAATCTCTTTTGAAAGATCCACTGGGTGTCAAGTGCATTTGAAGAAGTCAAGGGCAAGAGCTGGAAGCCCACAGTGGGGGGCATTGCAATAGTCCAGAGGAGCCAAGGTGGTGACAGGGCTGGGATTGTGGCCATGCAGCGTGGGAGCAGTGTGCTGCATGAGAAAGCCAGAGGTTTTTGTGGGGAGCAAGAAGAGGAAGACACTGAGAAAGACCCCCAATGCACTTTCGGTGCCAGGTCTCAAAACTAGTCTACATGTCCCTTTCCTTCAAGGTTGTATTTTCCCTTATCTGCAAAGAAAAGATACGACATCTCTCCTCCTTTAACTAGTTTTAGTACAGCTTAGGGACCCAGGCCTTCTTGATTCTGACGCCATGGCCCGAAATCTCACAAGTCACCATTTATTTTACAGCCGACCAGGACCTCTTCAGAAAGTATTTATTCCAGACCAGGATCCAGCATCCCTGGCTCACCAGGTCACACTATCTATGTAAGTATCTGCTTCCAGAAGGGACATTTGTGGGGCAGCTAAGTTTGGGGATTGAAATAGCAGAATGGACAATCCAAAACAGAAGCTAATGCAAAATGATTCATCTCTGTTAGAGATCCAGTGTTCATCTTGGTACATCAGCCCTCCAGGTCATATTTTCCTTCAGGTGATTCAATTTGTATGTGGTCATCAGATCAAAAGATGATTGCAAAATGCAAGACTTAAAAAAAATTTTTTCAGTGCTGAGGATCAAACCCCGGATCTTGCAAATTATAATGAGCGTCTCCTCCAGTCCTGGACTTCTAAAATTGTCACACCTAACTTACATACAGATATATAGGGATTAATTATATATTTTTATAACACTGTTGCTGAGTATTCTTAAATTCTGACATCAAAGATATTTAAATATTTAGTTTATTAAATAGGCAGTTCTTGGTTTTAGCCATCTGGGAACCAATTTCTTGACCATCTGTTTGAGATTTCTTTCCTTTCCTGTAGTAAATTAGAAAATTATTCTTCAGGTTTACACATTTTTATATTTAACAAATTCTGCACATAATTTTTCTTAAGCTTTAGATGATTTAAGGGGGAAAAAACCTGATTAACTGATGGTATAAATTGGTAATTCACTGGAAAGCATGGCTGCGCTAAGCAAGGGGTTTTGGTTTGTTTTAAGGTCTTCACATTTTAAACAAGACATAAAATTTACTGGCAATAGTTTCTCAAGAAATGAGACTGCAGAGTAACAATTCTCTCCATTTAACTTTACTAGGCAAAAGTAGACAACGAAATCCTGGATTACAAGGATTTAGCCGCCATCCCCAAGGTCAAGGCAATTTATGACATTGAACGTCCTGATCTCATTACCTATGAGCCTTTCTACACCTCGGGCTATGATGACAAGCAGGAGAGACAGAGCCTTGGAGAGGTAATAAATTCCTGGTGGTTGCAGGATGTACCGCAGTTCACTTTCTTTGTAGTCACACGTGCAACAACTGATGATTGGAGTTAAAATAAATCAGTCTTTTCGACTGTCTTTTGTTTGTGGGTTTCTGCACCAGGTGCTTTAAGGTATTCAAAACCTGTCACGTGATCTCTGTCCCAAGGGAGGTTACAGAGGTGGAAGAACCAGTGAACTGCACATAAAACAGCAGAGTCAGGCTGGGATAGAAGCTGTAGAGTTGTCAGGGAAGACTAGGGGAGGGAGAGTCTTCTGGGAGTCTTGAACTTCAAATGAGCCTGAAGTATATTCATGGGGATTGTGATGAGAGAGAGCATACCTCCAAAATTTTGGTAGCTACAGTTTTCAGCATCTTTACGTAATCAGAATGTACAAGAAAAGAAAAAAAGTAGAGATTGTGGTAACAGCAAAGTACACCGGGATGAGGTGAGATCTGGAATCAAATTACCTGGGCTCTACCCAGGGATCACCACACACTGGTGGTCTGACATTGCCATGTGACAACCATTCCAATTCTACTTCCCTCATCTGGAAAATAGGCTACCTCACAGGGGGCTAGAAAGGATTACATAAACTAATCGATGTAGAGCAGTTAACAGAGGGACAAACGTGTTAATATTCAGCAAATGGCAGCTGCTACCATTATTACCTGTCCTCCTGGGGCTTAGTGGTGCTTGGCCAACAGACACACCCAACTGCCAGACCACAGCTTCACATGGCTTGGGCTCCTCCCTCTGGTCTTTTTTTCCTGGCCTCTTCAACTCATTCTGTTTTTCTCTATTTATTTATGTATTTATTGATGCTGGGGACTAACCCCAGGGCCTTGAGCATGCTAAACACATGCTGTACCTCAGAGCTACTGCCCCAGCACGCCTTCCCACTTTAGTTTTTAAATTGGAATCATCTGTAGACTATTTGAGTCCATTGAGGGAGATGTTATCCAAGTAGTTGCCTCAAATCAGCCATTCAGCCAAAGTTGAATGAGAGTGGACAATCACGCAGTGTTTTCAGGCTTAACTGAGATAAAGGAAAAGCATATTAGTATAGTGAATCTGTTTAATTTGTCGTCAGTTATACACAGATAATATTTATTGTTTTATAATTATATTTACATTGATTTATATTTATATAACATTCCTCCTATTTGTTTATTTTCTAATTGGGGTTTTATTCCAGATCATAACTCTTCATTGCCATGGTCCATTAAACCAGAGGTGACATCCATTTTCATGTAGTGCCATCTAGTGGCTGCTTTGCTGCATTGCATCTTTGGCAGCTCTCAAATGCAGTTTGATTGCCCTGGGCTGTTGAGTTGCCATTGGGCAACAAAGAGTGTTGCAAAGTGACCTAGGTGATCAAGGGCAAGGAGAGGTTCCCGAACAAATTACATAGGGGCTGGTCTTAGAGCAAGTGGATGAGAATTTATTAATGTTCAAGTCATACAACCAAGGAGGAGCTGAGTTTTTTTATGGTGGTCTGTGTTTCCAAGTGAATCCATTTTGGGCAGTAAAACATCAGGCTCTTAAGGATTAAGGCTTTGAAGTGAAATTTTCAATATTTAAAATCAGACTCTGGCTGGACATGGTGATGCACATCTATAATCCCAGCTATTCAGGAGGCTGAGGCAGGAGGATTGCAAGTTTGAGCCAGCCTGAGCAACTTGGCAAAATCTTGTCTCAAAAAAAGTCTGAGAGGTGTGTAGCTCAGTGGTAGAGTACCCCTGTATTTAAGATTTAATCCCCAGTGCCCACAAAAACAAACAAACAAACAAAAAACACTGACTCTGGTATTTACTAACCCTATATTTATGAACCATATGACTGAGAAAATTTCATACTTCAGTCTCCTTCCCTGTAAACTCAAGGTAGAAAACAATAATTGCTACCTACCTCTAAAGTCTTTATATAAGGATTAGGTAAGGTATTTAGATTAGAACAGTAATTCATACATAAATGCTCAACAGAAATTCTAGCTGCTCTCAGATTCAATGCCATTACCATCATAACCTGGAATGGTGACCTAAGGGTTTCTCTATGGATAGAGGATGTCTCCTGGAATAGATATCAGATATGTCAAACTCTCCCCAACACATGGATCTTGTAGGGAGTAAACTTTACAAGTTATTCTATTATTTATTCCATTCATTATTAGCACTTCCTTTGTAGAACACAGGAGTAACTTTGAGTTCTGCGTAGCCCTCCACCTGGGGAGTGGATCCAGAATGCATCATCAGAGCAGGAGGAGAGCTAGCTTCTCCACAGGGGGCCATCCTTGGCCAGCAAAGATGCCCTAGAGACAGGCCATAGCTGCAGACATTACCATGGGGCCTGAGGAAGCTTGCAGTGCAAGAGAGTCTGCCATGTCATTGTTAATGTGGGGAAAAGATCCAATTCTAAAACTAAGAAATCCACCCCTGATGTTGTTCTTTAGAATGCTTATTTTGCATTTCATTTCTAATTGAAAACTTTTTACATTTTAATTACAAACATTTTATTTATTCAGAAAATATTCACTGAGCACCAAATATGTGGCAAGAGCTACTTTCATCACTGGGAATAGATTGTTATAAACAGTCCTTGCCCTCATTGAGCTTGGGAGACAGGAAGTAAACAGATACACAGGAGAATTCTACAGGGAGGTAGTATCATGAAGAAAAATGAAGGAAAGTAACAAGAAAGAATGCTGGGGGAGAAGTTGCTGTTTTACATAGGAGGGTCACAGCAGGTGCTGTGTGAAGGTGACTTTGAACTGAGACTTCATAGAATAGAAAATGGGGGTGAGCTCTGCAGGTGTCTACATGAAAAGCCCTGGTAGTGGAGGAAAGAGCAAGTCCAAAGGCCCTGAGGTGAGACAGGACTTGGCCTGTTGGTGGCCCTAAGGAAGCCTGTGTACCTGGACGATTGGAAGCCAGAAGCTGCGTGGTGGTGAAATTGGCCAGGCAGCCCGGACAGGATCCACATGCCTGGTCATCACACTCCTACCAAACTATTTTTCAGTGATTGCCAAAGTTATAATTTAGTTAAAAACATGTTTACAAAATCCCATGTTTTTGTAGATGTTATAACTCAGTACAGTGGAAATCTGGGCGTAATGTGAATATATAGGGGGAAATAATTCCATTTTGTCTAGTTTGATCACTTAAGACATCAATATGTTTATTAAGTTAACAATACTATTAACAATATATTTGTTAAAACCATGATTCTTGGGCAAAAAAAAATGTGCACCAGAATCTCTCCCAAGAACTTTGTCAGAGTTTACCATGGGCCCCAGTAAATATTAAATCTGAAGACAGGAATGGGTAACAGATGTTGGCACATGAATTTGGAATAATGTTCCCAACTAATCTGATAAGCAAATCTAATTAAAACTGGTAAAAAAAATTTACAACATTGTGACTTTGACTTCTCTTTTATTGTCCTAGTCTCCAAGGACTTTGTCTCCTACTCCATCAGCAGAAGTAAGTACCATTTTGACCATTTTAATGAGTGAAATTTGCAAGTGGTTTGGATCTTGCCTAGACTGGAATTTTTTGAAAAAGGACACAACACATAAAGAAACAAAAACCGAGATTATAGTGGCATAGGGATTACCTACCTGTAAGGTAGGATCTTAAAAGGGCAATACATTTCTTTCTAAATGTAATCTGTGGAGTAAAAGGGGCCTCGTGTTAATCTGAATTTGTACCTCCAACTGCTAAGCGAATGTCTGGAGGGATGGAGGCCACCATCCAGGGTGGGGCTCTCTGTGTCATCTACACTTAAGTTATCTGAACCCTAATGCACTGGGTCACCTGATGAGGCCAACAGTGGTCATAGTGTCATCCATAAGCAGAACCACTTCTTCCCGGGAAGTCACTTCTTCTGGTGTAAACTCAGTGTTCTGGTCTTAGCATCAAGCAGCTTTCTGGATACTCTTTCTAAAATCCATCATAGAAAATCTCTATAATTCAAGATTGTGAAAAGTCCATAATATTTCCATGGTTTGTGGGTAAATACTGTGAGCAACTGATTTCTAGTACTGATCTAACAATTATAACTGAATTTATGAAGAACCAGCTTCAATTATGGACTAGTTGTAAGACTGAAGCACATCTTTTGGGGGCTTTTTGTGTTGTCATTGTGTTATTTTATATATATATATAGTATATTTTATATGGCCAAGTAAATCAAACCAAAGTTTCCTTGACATTTGCTGTCCAATTTCACAAAGCTACCACACTGAGATTTTAATTCAGTCTTTCATGTGTTCTTTTAAGCTTTTTTTTTTTTTTTTTTTAAAAGAATGTGCTAGTAGAAGCTTCACAGGACAACAAACCCCTGAAACATAAAATACTTTTTGCATTCTTCCAACTTTTTTTGGAAAGTTTTATATTGCATTTGTACATGTCTAATTTATTGTACCTATCACCCAATATGTCCTTTTCTGGGTTTCGACATGGGTGACATTATATTCTATCAAAGTGATTGTTTCTGAATTATTCTCCAATTGTTGAGTATATAATACCGATCTTTGCCTTTATGGATGGTGGTATTATAAAAATCTTTGAATTATTACTTTTAAAGATCATTTTAAATTCTTTCCCTGGAATATACTTCCCAAGGTGAGGAGTAGAATTACTGGCCTTAAGGCAATCACCAACCTGTTCTCCGGGTGTGTCAACTTAAAATGTCACCAGATATAGTGTTACAGCATGGGTCAGTGGTCAGAACACAGGACAAAGTTGCATATGGATGCCCATTGGATGGGAACCCCTACCTGTGCTAGCTATGCACTTGTGTGTCTAACTGCTTGGAACCTTGTTTTTACATTAGTGGGGAAGGAAGGCAATGCCATGCCCTTCCTTACCATTAGGAAGATCTGACATAGGTGGACACGCTTTGTAAAACTGAAAAGCACAATATAAACATGGTCATAGAATTTATGATTTTACATCTTAATTTTTAATAATTACAAGAACTGCAGGTTTGAACAAAATGCATTAGACACAAAATGCTCAGGTGCTTGCATATTTATGGAATGTGACCCTAAGAAGTAAACACCAACAGGTAGCCAAGATAACTCCCTAGCGATGTTGGCTACGGACCAGGTTTTGTTGGAAATGTGCATAAGTAGCATCAAAGTATTTTGTCCTCATTCTTTCCCATGCTTTGTTTCTAGGGCTACCAGGACATTCGGGATCGGGTGATCCATCGATCCACCAGCCAGGGCTCCATCAACTCCCCTGTATACAGCCGCCACAGTTACACTCCAACCACTTCGCGCTCTCCCCAGCATTTCCACAGACCTGGTAAGGGCCACAGTTCCCAGTATCCACCTACATGATAAGCTGTTATCTCTGTGTGAAATCCCTGCCATGCATAGCATATTGAAAAATCTGATTGCTAAGTATTTTTGATCCTCTCCCATAACAAAATGAAAACTGATACCCAACTATATTTTGTGTTATATCTTTTCTTGGAACTTCAATCATTTTATGGCTATATTCACTGTAATTTATTAAATTATATTTTGACAGTGAAATATTGGCAGCAAAGGAGATTTTTTTTTCAGGTGTGATAAGATTTTTGTCACTTTGAGACTTATAATGAAGCTCTCCACCAGGAAGTACTTTGATATGCTTTTTAGACATATCAACATCATCTAAAATCCAGTACTAGCCATCTATTGACAAGGGTTTAGAATACCCTCATCTAGGCACCTAGCATTTCTAAGCATGTGTGGCTATGTGCCTTCTAGAAAGAGGACTCAGGCTTGTCCTAGTAACTTCTGAGATGCCTTCCAACCCTAAGATTTTGAATCAAACTTGGAATATACAGAAATCTCAGGGATATACCACAGTAGAAAATGTCACATAGTAGCAGACTTTAGGTTGCCCTTTTTCTGCAGAGAATTTAGTTCCTATAGCTCTTAGTGAGGTCTGATGTGTGTAGCAGAATGGCGATCCCAGGAGAGATCCAGGAAGCCCCGAGAAAGCAAGTCACAGGGAAGATGTTGGCTTCCAAACAAACCTGGGGGTGATGTTGTACATTTATGAAGACTTCACAAACCCATTCAAATGCTAACTTTTTAAATAACACAAGGAATAAAACCAAAGGAGATTTGCAGAATGTAATAAGATTGAAACTACTGGATATTTCAGTAATATATCCATTTCTTTAGGTTTATCTGTATTTACTTAATGAATTATGTTAAATGAATTAAGTTAAATGAAAGTTTTCAGGAAACGTCTTCTCTTTTAATGTGTAACTACATTCATTTTATTCATGTCTTGGACAAGGGTCTCCATTTAAGTCTTTGCTCTCTGGGCAGTGTGAAATCCTTCTTGCTGTAACCTGCAGATGTACATATACCAAAACCCTTGACAGCCCAGCTGTGGCACTTTTGGAATGGTGTGGGGGCTGCAGGGTAATCTTCCACACACCCCTGAGCACCGAGGGAGTGGTCAGTCAGCAACACTTGACCCCCCCCCCCCCCCCCCCCCCCCCCACCCC